GAACCCCAGCAGCGTCACCACAGCGCTGGAGAACCCCAGTAGCGTCACCACAGCGCTGGAGAAACCCCAGTAGCGTCACCACAGCGCTGGAGATACCCCAGCAGCGTCACCACAGCGCTGGAGAACCCCAGCAGCGTCACCACAGCGCTGGAGAACCCCAGCAGCGTCACCACAGCGCTGGAGAACCCCAGTAGCGTCACCACAGCGCTGGAGAACCCAGTAGCGTCACCACAGCGCTGGAGAACCCCAGCAGCGTCACCACAGCGCTGGAGAACCCCAGAGCGTCACCACAGCGCTGGAGAACCCAGCAGCGTCACCACAGCGCTGGAGAACCCCAGCAGCGTCACCACAGCGCTGGAGAACCCCAGCAGCGTCACCACAGCGCTGGGAACCCCAGTAGCGTCACCACAGCGCTGGAGAACCCCAGTAGCGTCACCACAGCGCTGGAGAACCCCAGCAGCGTCACCACAGCGCTGGAGAACCCAGCAGCGTCACCACAGCGCTGGAGAACCCAGCAGCGTCACCACAGCGCTGGAGAACCCCAGCAGCGTCACCACAGCGCTGGAGAACCCCAGTAGCGTCACCACAGCGCTGGAGAACCCCAGTAGCGTCACCACAGCGCTGGAGAACCCCAGCAGCGTCACCACAGCGCTGGAGAACCCAGCAGCGTCACCACAGCGCTGGAGAACCCCAGCAGCGTCACCACAGCGCTGGAGAACCCCAGCAGCGTCACCACAGCGCTGGAGAACCCCAGCAGCGTCACCACAGCGCTGGAGAACCCCAGTAGCGTCACCACAGCGCTGGAGAACCCCAGTAGCGTCACCACAGAGAAGCTCCGTCTTAAGGAATGAGACACATTTTCAACGTCATTGTAAGGGTATGTGATCTCGTCGCACGAGGAAGGGCTACAAATACCAGTACTGCTTGTCTCTCTGTATAAATTACTTTTACAGGCTTGATTTATGTTAAAATTTGTATACTCTTTACATTCTTCATTGTCTTACTACTCTTGGTGTTGTGACCTGACCTTTAATCTTCCTGAGCTTCCCTTGATCTTTGGTTTTCCTCATATCCATACATTCGATCTTCTTAGATCCTGATCTTTGATCTTCCTCAGTTCCTCCTGATCCTTGCCTTCCTCAGCTCCTGATCTTTGACTTTCCTCAGCCTGTCGTTAGATGGCTATCAAGCAGAATGTTGTGCAGTGCGCAGGCTCATATCTTATCTTATCTCTCTGGCTGGTCAGATGCTATCAGACTCTCTACAGTGCCAGTTAATCAGCCAGCCGTCGCTACAGTGCGTCTTGGAGGGTCGCAGAAAAACCCGGCAAACATCCCGGGGACTGATGAGCCTTGCTGTGACAAGTGAATCACGTTACCCAGGATGGCGAGACACTGGACGGAGAACCTTGTAAGTGGTGAGATTATCTATAAGTGGGGAGGATTACTTTATGGCGAAGAATATTTTCAGGTGGGGGTTGAAACTGCTAATTAAGGTCGATTGTGGGGCGTTAAAGTGAGATAGATGTCATGGCGTTTAGGCAGTGTTGTGTTCAGATTGTATTAATGGGAAAGCCGTTAAAAACCGTGAGGGTCATGTAGTGTCTGGGATTGGATGACAATCAGGTGTGATCTGAAGGCATATGTAGCTCAAGGCAGATTCCTCCCCCCCCCCCCCCAAATGAGAGGGTTCAAGTGGCGCCGCTCTCTGATTATAAAGATATCCTCGTAGAAATTCAGTTTTACATGGGTATGGAATAATACATGCTGAGAGATGGTAATTCCCAAGCGACAGTAACTCTAGCTCTGCTGGAACAAAGAAGCATTTGAACCTCTTGTAGCTGCTAAACCTGTTACAGGTTTTCAAGTAGATATGGGATTTGATTTTATTACAAATCAATCTGCTTGTATTCAGCATTTTTAAAACCCCGAAATAGGAAAAGAAAAACGTAACTGATTATATTATGTTCTGGATGCTTTCTAGAACATATGTGTCAAGAATGGCGAGGTAGAGGGAGTGAAGAAAGCTCTAGCAAAGGGAGGCCGTGTTGACGGAGGACACACGACTCTCAAGTCGCCCTTGCACTATGCAGCCCAGGCGGTTACGTGGAAATAGCCAGGCTGTTTGTGTGACCACAAGGCTGACTTGGAGCTGAGGAGAAAAGTTGGATGAAGGTTAGAAAGTACATGATTATCTACTTGTAGCTGTCAGAGCTTTGTTCATGGTGTTCTGTTTTTAGTCTATCATTAAATACGTATTGTAAATTTTCAGTTGTTGTAGCACCTATTACCCACCTCGTATTTTTTCCCTCTTGTATCACTGAGGGAAAAAAAAAGTTTTTATCCTTACGGGAATCGTATTTTCTCTCAGCTTACCCAAAAATGATCTCTTTTTCATCCTGTTGTGGTAACTAATAATATATTATAATATATTTTATATATATATATATATTTATATTTTTATATATATATATATATATAATATTATATATATTATAAATAATAATTTTTATATATTATTAAAATAAAATTATATATATATTATATATTATATATTTTATAAATATATATATTATATATAATATATATATATATATTAGGATGGGGTCCACCTGGTGTAAATTGTGGGACCCATAGCTCGGAGAAGTGGATAAAAGGCTTCAAGGAAAAATTTGGATTTCTTCCTGAAGCTGTTTGAATATTCCCCCTTCCCTACCACCCCATCTTTTCATATTTATTTTTTTTACTAATAGGAATATTTTATTACATAATAGGTACAGAAGATTTAAGAGATCATTATTGATATTAAAGGTGGCATATACGGTACATGTTGTTATGTGTGTATCACCGATTATAAGGCGAAATCTCATCCAGCTCCTCAGAGCTGGGGCGTGTGCCCCAAAATACAGCAGGCATTACCCCTTTGAACAGCCGCACTGAGCCGCTGGAACAGAAAACTAGCTGCCCTGGGATCCCTAGTTACCCTGATAAGTCTTTTTCCCAGCTCCTTAAGGAATTTAGATGCACTCTTTCCCCATGAGCCAAGGGTCTCTGAGCCTATGGGAACAAACATATAATGATGGGCAAGTTCTCCATATTTTCTAGACTTTTGGGACTCCCTGAAGCTGGCAGCTGCCCCTCCTCTCCTCCTGGTGTATTGGAGATAGGTATCAGCCAAGGTAGATGCACATGTATAGTCCCACACCACCTGCTTCCCATCTGTCCAGGCTTGAAGGGTGATACCATCTGGACGCTTCTGGCTGCCATCAGATCTGCATAGTTGGGGTGGCTCCCTTACTGCTGGGCATCCAGCTGTTGTGAGGCTCCTCTTGATAATGTTATTAACCTCCTCAAGTCTTGCAATCTTTCCCTCGGATTTACGGCACACAAGACCATGGTACCCGAATCGGTCTGCTGCTTCACTGCCACAAATACACCTGTGTTCGGCGAGATTGGGGCGGCAAGTCGAAGGGCAACACCGATGCGGATGGTCTGTGGGTCGAGACGTGTGCCAAGGCTGGAGTTGGGAACAGCCAACAGAAAGTCCCCAGCATGAGGTGCTCTCACTGCCAGGAGGCGGGCTCTATCCTTCCCTGACACACTCTGAAGCATTGTTGAGGCAATATTTTCCACTATTGGACCATCCCAGTGCGATTGTTTGTAGTTGTTGGGGGGAGCAGGTCTGGCTCCAGAGCCCGTTAGATTATCCCAGATCATTGCTCCGTCAATGAATTTTTGGTCCTGGACTCCTATCTTGTCCCTAAGATGTTCAGGGGAAATCGCTGCTACAAGCTCTCTGGATGCAATACACGAGGACAGAAAGCAGGTAACGCAATCTGTGATGACTTGCGGACACCAATGCCTCCTAGTCTGACTGGAAGTGTAGCTTGGTTCCACTGCCCGTCTTCTAGAGTAAGTAAGTACTTTCGTAAAAATCTGCCTCAGAATTACTGTCATATTCGTGCAGTATAGGGTTATCATATGAAGGTGCACATCTTAGGAAATATGTCAACCTGGGCAGACTCAAGCACTTTGTGAGAAGGTACAAGGCATCGTGGGTGTCCAGATTGCCTATTCGTTGTTCCATTCTCCTTAACTCTTCCAATTTCTTCCTGAGAATTGTGTCAATGACATTGCTTCCCAGAGGTGCTCCTATCAAGACACTATTTGTGGGAGCAATGACTGCTGCTCCTGGTAGTTTTGATCTCACTGCATTTATCACTTGTTGACTGACTGAGATGATTTCACATTTGGATGGATTCAGGATGAGACCCATTTCCTGTCCCCGTGTCATTACCTGTGTAAGGTCATGTAGGAGGGACTCTTTTGTACCTGCTAGTGTGCCATCATCTAGGAACCAGATGTTTAGCTCGCTGGTCAGTCTGACTGTGATTTCCCTAACTGCTATTACAGAAGAGAAATGGTGCAAGAGGATCTCCTTGTTGGACACCCTCCGATGATGTAATTTCATGCTCTCCAAAGAGAAGCACTGATTCCTTGCTATACCCGGCTGAAACAAAAGGGAAGAGACCAGGGAAATGTTCTTGTACTGCTGCTAATACACGTCTCTTTTCAGGAGATTGAACGCATTCTTGAAATCTAATTTTACCACTGCATTGTCCTCAGGCAGGTTGTTGATATACGCCCTTGTTGCATGAACCGCTGCTTCACTTCCTTGAGAGGACCCCAAAGCCAAGCTGGTTTGGTTGAAGCATCATGGCTGCCTGTGCACGAATACTTCGGACAGCAGCTTTGGATACGAGGCGGCGTAAGGTGTTGCCTACTGCAATTGGCCGAATTCCTCCATCCTTCTTTTTAAGTGCACAAAGTGTTGCACCAAAAAAGAAAGGTCTAATATATATATATATATATATATATTATATATATTATATATATATATATATATATAATATTTAATATATATATAATATATTAATATAATTTAAAATTTGTTTTATATCTCCTCTTTTCCTGCTATTAGCCAACGAGGGATTTGTTGTCATTTCAATTTTTTTTTCTAAACTTCCATGTTTTCCCCCTAACTTTGGGAACTATTTCGTAATTTATCTTCAGACATTGTCTGATCTAATGAACTTGTTTGATTCAAGGTGCGAACACCACACTACAGCTGTATACTACAATTTTGCTTTGATATACATGTGAAGACTTTTTCATGGGCATTTGCCCAGCCATATATCAGAGTTTAGCATTTAAAATGTGATTATCTTGCCTCTTCTTCCTATTCCTCTGAAGATGTGTGTGTAAGCACATGAAAGAGCTTCTGTTTTATTCCCTATTTTCACTGTGGTATTTTGTAATCGTCAGACTAATTTTGAAGCTTGCTATTATAACATAGGATTTTTTTTACTGGTATAGTTACGCTATGTTTTGTTGACCATTTTCTCAACAGTTACTCGTAGATTCCTCTCTTTGTGAAATGTTTTCTATATTTTATCACAGATCAATAATTTTTATGCAAGTCTTCTTGTGGGGATTACAGTGTTTTTTTTTTATTATTTTGTAGAGAACTGTGTGTTAGTTAGAGACTGTCATGGGTTCTTGTTAATAGACACTTTGTCTGCTCTGTGTGTGTGTGTGTATTAGGGGAAGAAGGGGATACTGGCATTTATCGTCTCTAACACCTCGTATCTCAACCTGCCTCAATCTGTCGTGTCTGCTGTCTGTCCCTTTCTCTGTGTCTGTCACTGTTATAACAAAAAATCACCATCGTTACGATATTCCTCTCGCCCTCCCCATGCTTTCCCTTCGCATCCCAAATATATATTCAGTAGAGCAAGCCTCTCTTTGGGCAACGTTTCACTTGCCTTTAAGCTAAATGTCCAAAATAAAGGCTTGCTCTGCTGTGACTGTATGGCAGCCATATCTTTTGACGTTGTTGAGGTGCACTTGTCCTGCAGGAGGGACGGCACTTGTGCTGGCGGTGAAGGCTGGTCACAAAGCCACCGTGAACCTTCTGCTACAGAGAGGCGCTGACGCTCAGATCCTTGATGACAACGGTAAGGAAATGACCGCAGTTTCTTAATTACTAACCACTTTTCTCTTCTCTGTTACTAACAACTATTAATCTAAGATTCCAAGTTATATTAAGATATTCCAAGGAAGAGGATATCTATAGTGGCTGTTGCTATTTTTTTTTCAGTGTTTTCGTGAAATAAATTGATATGAGATCGCACTTTCTGGATACAAATAAGAACACAATTACGGGTTATGGCATTCTATTAATGAAGATGTTTATTTCACTAGGGACTTATTAACTGTTAAACTGATGAAATCCCCGAAGGACAAAAGTCTTAAAAATGCCCTAACCTGCAAATTGTTTTATTTATAGGTAAATTCAAGAAACTGCATTAGCTTCACCTCTTCCGTTGGGCTTCCAACTTTCCATGTTGGTGTATCTCACTGGACAGGAAGGTCTGAAGTGTAACTGGGCTGTGTAAATGTTAGCTTGCCATTAGTATACAGGAAACATTATGTTTTCTTCTTTCTCTTCTTGTCTTCCTCTGTAAACTGTAATCTGTATGGATATACAACCAAACAACCTACATCCTTGCAATAATGGAGACTTTGTAGACATGTAATTGGTGGTGTTGCTTTTCTGCAAAAATAATCATGAATTCAGTCATAAAAATCTTACTTGACAGGAGAAAGCGTAGCACAGCACGCTAGCCGCGGAGGCCACACAGCTATTCTTGAGCAGTTATGGAAGCACAACAGCCTCCTGACTTCCCTGAACAGTACGGCGCCAACACCTTGTTGCACCTGGCTGCTGAATACGGCCATCTCGATACAGTGAAGTGGCTGGTTAGTCACGGTCACTCCCCCTCCTGTCTGGACAGAGAGAAGCGGACGCCGGCAGACAGAGGAAGGGCACATCATAAAGTGAAACACGTGGCTTAAGACATACCAGACTCCAACATCCTGGTCAGTCACTGGAGATCTTTTCTTCATATAATCACACTAGTATGACAAAAATGTTAGTTTTCCGAAAATTAGATATTAAAGCATCATTTCAGATGCTGGGAAAGTGCTTATACTAAGTATATAAATATATCTCTGTTGAAAAATAAAGGCGTAATAGATTAAAAAAAAACCGAGATTATTAATACCACACCTCAACAAAAATGACACCTCAACACTGATTCAGAAAGGAAATACCTGCAGCATCCTGCAGCATCAAATGTATTATCCTTTCCAATGTAATCTTTTACCAAAGTAAAATTTATATATATATATATATATATATATATATATATATATAATATATATATATTATATATATATATATAATTATATATATATAGATATATATAGCATTCTGGGCACGCGGCCCACCGCCGGGGAGCTGCACGAAGTTTTCCCGAGATGTAGCTCTAAGTTAACTATGTTATTTTACTTTCTATTGTATCTTTGTGAATGTTTTGTCAATGTATTTTGTCTTTAAATAAAATATTTTATTAAATAAATATAGGGGGTGGTAGGAGAAAATTCTCAAACAGCTTCAGGGAGAACCTTGAGTTTTTCCCTGAAGCAAGTTTATTCTTTCCTCTGAGGATGCGGGCCCCTATATATATATATATATATATATATATATATTATATATATATTATATATATATATTTTAAAATATATATATATATATATATATATATTATATATATATTCAACAAGTCGGCCGTCTCCCACCGAGGCAGGGTGACCCAAAAAGGAAAGAAAATCCCCCCAAAAATACTTTCATCATTCAACACTTTCACCACACTCACACATTATCACTGTTTTTGCAGAGGTGCCAGAATACAACAGTTTAGAAGTATATACGTATAAAAATACACAACATATCCCTCCAAACTGTCAATATCCCAAACCCCTCCTTTAAAGTGCAGGCATTGTATTTCCCATATATATATATATATATATATATATATATATATATATATTATATATATATTTTATATTATATATATGGAGAGAGTGAGAGTGGAAAGGATAAAAGAGAGAGGCCTTACTATTTTATCTACCACGGAGGCTGAGTCAGCAGCACACACGTCGAGCGATGAACGTCAGCCCCTGGTGGAAGCGGCTGCCAGAGGCAATTTAAGAACCATCAGCTCACTAATAAAGTCGGCGTTAATCTAGACGAAAGAAGCAACAGAAGAGACGACATGGGTAAGCATTCCTACCAATCCAAACCGTTTCTCCGTGTATCCTTGTATTATAACACACAGATGGAAGAATGTATAAAAGTAGGAGAACATCATACTGAGACCAGAAGTGTATGAACAATGTGGATTCCTCTCTACCAGGTCGGACGGCGTTGCATCTGAGCTCTGCGGCTGGACTTGAGGAGGTGGTGACGGAGTTACTTCGATACGGAGCCACAATTAATGTTAAGGATTACCAAGGTGAGATCATCACACAGATCGATCACTGTCATAGTGAAAGAAAGCCGCTAAGTGGATGACAAGAAAAAAAACATGCTAAGTTGATATTATAACAACGTTTAACTCAAGGGAAGCTTAATAAAGATCTTAACATGAGTAAGTTTCCCTTAAACGAAACATTATTTTAATAATGATTTACGTTGTTTTATGTATTTTCATCCACCGTCACTAGCCTCATCAGGAGCTCCATCCTCCTTCACTACGCCTCTACCACGTCTCTTACTGCCCTACTCCACTAATCATCTTCTCGGGGTCCTCCTCCCGGTAAAGTACAAGTCTTCTAGGATTCACCTTCCATTAAGGTGGAAACATTCTTGGGTTGTTCTCCAATATGGGTAAAAACCTTGAATGCTCCTCCTCCTCCCTGTTGGATAGAAGCCTTGTTGGGTTCTCCTGCCAGTAATTGCTGGAGCCCTGAACTGCTCCATAACGGACGCTATAGTTCAGACTGGGACTTTCATCTTATGGAAACAGTATGTGTGAAAAAAAGACACAATGCAGAATAAACTTTTGCAGAGCTTTATCCAGTTATGACTTAATAAAGCTCTATACAGGGCGAAACGTCGGCCCCACAAAAGTATGTCCTGCAATGTCTTTTCTACATTATTGTCGTCAGTACTTATTAGGATCTTAGTGTATTTGAATAGTTGTTACCAGATTTGTAAAGAATTGTGATATTTCTTTCCTAATACCAGTGTACCTTTTCCTGACCTGCTTCATGACGATGCAACATACTAGTTGAACTCCGTTAGTTAACTGAGTTTGCTATAAACTCAATTAAATAACGCAGTTAACTGAGTAATCAACGGACTATGCATCGATCACTCAAAGGATGTTAGGTAGAAGGACACAAGTGCAACTAATGTGACATTTTATTGTGGTAACGTGTCGCTCTCCAAGAGCTTTGACAGGAGCTTGACAAATCTCCTGGAGAGCGAAACGTTACCACAATAAAATGTCACGTTAGCTCAACTTGTGTCCTTTTACCTACCATATTGTGGGTAATTCTACCAACATTAATACACTCAAAGGATCACTGGACTGCAGTGTCACCTGTTCACCGCTAGTCAACAATATTAAATCCCTAAAATGTAAACCCTCACTGAATATACACTGTGAGACATATACTTCTCTGTGTACATATCCTAGTTTTCTATCTATTGTAATCTCTCGTGCAACAACTGAGTCACAGCATCTCAGTAGCTGTCAAATTTACGGTATATAAATTTATGTGAGCATCGTGTATTTACAAAATATAAATTCATGTGAACATCACGAATTTATAAAAATCTCTTGACAAATACGATGGCTTTACAATACTGTTATGTGATTCATGACAATTTTGTGTTTTTGTATCACCATTGTACCTGTCACACCATATACGTCACCAACACTATCATAACTACGATCAACTACTACCATCACCACCACCTAACCTACGATCACATCCACCATCCTACGTCACAACTAATGCCCAATCCACTACTACCACTATCACTACGAGTGACATATACGTAGGTAACTGGTGTTAGATATTATGTTTGTGTATTCCCAGAGATGCAGCCGCTGCACCTGGCCGCCGAGAGAAATCAGGTGAAGGTTCTCTATCAACTGGTGAACAAAGGTGCATCGAAGGAAGCTCGAGACATTGAAGGTATCCTGCCTAAAGCTACTGCATTTTTTAAGGGAAAAAAGTAAAATCTTTGCCTTTTATACGAAATGAATTTTTTGTATATTTTATATAATCAGGGCTGCCTTTAAACAATTCCGCCTCTGTATGTCTTCTCATAGTGACAAACTAAGTAGCTTCATTCAGCTGGAGCCTCATTTGTTGTTATTATTATTATATTAATAAGCAAACGATAAAATAAGAAAGGGCTACACAGCACCTGGGATGATAGGCAGTCAGGCTCGTTGCGAGGAAGGAAAAGAAGATTTCTAATTCCTTGGATCAAGAGCCCCGTATCAGCATCCAGGCACACCACCCTTGAAGGGTGCTTCAAATGAACCAAAAAATATTTCGTGTGCGAAATTGCACTGAAATTCCGGAATATCTATTTGTAGTAATCATACAATGTCTACGTAAATGAGAAAGCAAACCAGGTTCGAAAAAGGGAGATACGTTAAATTCCTTAAACGAAAAACCCCTCATCAGAATCTTATTTAGTTAGTTAAGGAGACATCAAGAGTGGAAAGTGACCCAGGCCTCGCTGAACCTCTGGGAGTGTCTGCGTTTATGAAGGGAGTTAGGGGAACTGGTTAACTTGACTCCGGTTCTGAATGTGCCTGCACTCTTAAAAATAGGTTCAGAGTGCAGGCACCTATCAGGTCATTACATTTGTGAATGAGTGATGGTGACTGTATTTCATTATTTGGTGGAAAACGTATATTTTCTGTCATCAGTGTAAACAAACATTACAACACTGGTGTTGGTTCACACCAGGTTGGCGTCCTATACACTTCGCTGCTGCCTGCGGCCATACCAGGATTTGGAGGAATTGAAAAACCTGGGGTGCGACCTAGAAGCCAAGACGAAGAACAACTCGACCTCTCTCCATCTGGCTGCAGAGAATAACCATCTGCAGGTGGTGCAGTGGCTAGTGGAGCAAGGCGCGATCACCACTGCTGTTAACAAGCAGCAAGAACACAGCTGAAGACTGCGCCAGGAAGAAATCTCACAAGGAAGTGGTCGACTTCCTTAAACAGTACCGAACATTCGGAAAAGTAAGAACATTATTTAGATTTAAATAAAGTTTTTGGCTCAACTAGTACATTTGATGTCTATTTTTTGTTCGTTATTTTAGCAAAATATTACTTATTTGTACAGTATACGGCATTAGGCATTTTTCTACACTTACGTTTTCTGTAATTTTAATCTTGGTATAACTGGAGTTCAGACTTTCGAAGCTTGCCAGAGAAGCGTAAGATACTTGGAAAATCTGTTCTCTGAGATACCCAATATTGGAAGCAACTAGCTTTTGTTAATGAATAGTTCCCCACCTGCTGAGAACGATAAATTCTTAAAATAAAAAAAGATTGTGAAGATTTGTTCTTTTATCACTTGAAGAGGAATTATTGCAAAATCTTTGGAGGAAGCCAGAATTTTATAGGCTCTTGTTCCAAGAAACTGGACTCATTCTCCTCTTTCTTGGGTCTACCCTGAACGCCCCTTTAGCTCATCCCTCTGATTAAAATAAAGAAATCTTATAGTTTAGTGAACTATGAATCAATAAAAACATATATTTATTAATATTCACACTTCAGCTTTACCAAAATTCTTAAAAGTGTCACTGAATTATCTTGGCATTTTTTCACTACATGACACTACCCATATGTTTCGCGCTTCACATAACTATAATTATGGTTCCTTCTGACACAGGTGCAGCAGCAGAGGTACCAGGTGTACCCTGATGATGGTTCAGTAGGTACGAGCAGTGTTGCTGTGTCTAGGACACCTCGCTCTGCCCACCCTCAGGACACCCGTAGTGGTTCAGCAAGCTACAGAGGAGCCTCATCCCCACCCCTGCCACCTCCTCAGTGGACTAACCCTCCTCAACCCGACTATCAGCGTCAGGCCGACAATCAGCGTCAGGCCGACTATCAGCGTCAGGCCGACTATCACCGTCAACCCGACTATCAGCGTCAGACCGATTATCAGCGTCACCCCGACCTCCAACGTCAGCGCAACTACCAACGTCAGCTGGACACTTACCCTCAGACCATTTCTTCCATTTCTCCTCAGAGGCCCTCACACACTCAGCCCAGCTATCACCCTCAGGCTTCTTCTTACCCGCAGACCTCCCCTTATTCCTCTGCTCAGCGGATCCCACAAACTCAGCTTAATATTCAGCCCCCGTCCCCCACTTACCCTCAGGACGCCCGTTTTCCCTCTCCTCACTGGTCCTCTCACACTCAAACTTACGATCAACCTCAGCTTTCTCATGAAATACAGACTGTCATTCACCCTCAGTCCTCTCACCCACTGGACTCCCTCACCCTCTAGACTCCCCTCACCCTCTGGACTCCCCTCACCCTCTAGACTCCCCTCATCCTCTGGATTCCCCTCAAGACAGGCAGTCAGATCTATCTACTCAGGTGAGTCGATGTTATCCCAAGTCTTTGTCTATTTATCAACACAGCTGCATTTTTTGGCCTAATTTTGTGCCAAATTATCTTTCCCATCCTTTAAATTTCTTTCGGCATGTCAGGAGGCAAGCTGAGAGACATTAGTCAGTCCATCTTAAGAATATAACCATGGAGGAACACTATTGCAGGCCTACTGGCCCATAAATGGCAGTCTCAAATTCTACCGTTCCCATCCATATATTTGAACAACCTATGCATTACTCGTTTTTTGTGAGGTATATAAAAAAAGAGAGTAATACAAAAACTAATAAGTCACAAATGATACTTTTGTTCAATTTTGAACATTTGTTAGACAACATTTCGCCACGAATGGCTTCACCGGTCCTAAGACAGTTAAAACAGTGTTACGTAGAAGTCAGAGCGAGGAGGAGGTGAGGCAGGGAGATACGCTGAATTGGGTTGGATTCTGAGAAGAAGCACTGCAAAAGGCTTACGGCCTAGCACGGGCCGTAAGCCTTCTGCAGTGCTTCACTATATTTCTTGTTTGTTTATGTGACGGCCAGTTCTAACATGGCTAATAATCTTTTGAGTAAATGGTCAGAAACACTGAAGCAGTCAGAGCTTAGTGGGATGGTGTCGGTGGTGACATGTAAGACAACGTTCATGTGTTGTTTTTGAGGATGACTTAGTCGTGCCTAATTGAATTTCATCTAGTGTCCATGTTCGTTCCTGTGCTGTACACAGGCGCTGTTGCAGTCATCCCATCTGCAAGCGTTTCTGTGCTCGCTTAGTCTAATTTATATATTTACTGTCATTTTTACCTGTGGTATTTTAACCGACCTACTTACAACCAACAAGTCTCACTCATGGATATACCTGATTAACTTGTAAAAGCTGATTTTGAACTAAAACTTACCAGCAAAATTTCTCTCACAACTTGCACAATTCCGTACTTAAATGTAAAAAAGAAATATATATTTTGAGACAACTCTATGACACACATATATTAGAAATTTTGCAAATAGTGATAACCAAAAAAGTCTAACCAAAGAATCTCAAATTTGCTTTTTTTTTTTTTAGCTTGTTGCTACTCTATTTTACTGGCCCAGACGAGCGTTTCTGCACGCCACTGCGATCATCAGATCTACCTCTCACAGAATAGGCATCAAGCGCAAACTATAGTTGTGAAATGGGCTTAAACAGACACGTGAAGAAACATTAGGACACGTTACTAATAAATACGCGTTACTGTTGCCCAAGTGTCTTTTTTTAAACCAATTGTCGGAATCCATTACCAAAGTTTATACCAAAGCCGTGAAAAATCAAATTATTCACTACCAACAGATGCTGGTGGCGGCGGCGGAGGGGGGGGTGGAAGAGGTAGAGAGTTGTGTGGCAGCTGGAGCAGACTTGTCTTCCACCAGCACTAGGCCTGGAGAGGAAGGTCAGACTTAATTAAGGTTATGCCTCTAACATACTGTCGAAATCCATATCTATTATTATTATTTAATCTATTATTATTATTATTATTATTTGTAGTGTAAAAGTCAACTTTACCAAAAGCTTCTATTAATGAAAATGATAAATACTCATTATTTTTTTTTTGAGACGAACAGACTGTGTAAATAATTTTCGTTATTGTAGTAGTAGCAGTATTGTAAATTTCTTTATTTTATTCTATAATTAATTTTATTGCTAAGCAATCGTCCCTTACTGTTGCACAGGGTTGCAGGCGCTGCACCTGGCGTGTTGGGGCGGCCATGTCCAGGTGGTGGAGAAGCTACTCGTACTGAAGGTCGACCAACGAGCTGTAGCCCAGGGTGAGAGTGGGATGCCATACTCATTATTCTCTCACCACATTCTTGCTGTGCACTCTTGAAGGGAGATAAATACTATGCTGCTGGCGAAGGCCTCTTGATTCACGGAACTGTTTCTACTTTTTGTTGGATCAACCTTTATTACCTCCCCAATGATTTAATAGTTTAGGTTGTAGCTTGAGTCTTAGGAACTAGTGTGTAGATATAATTAACAGCGGACCCAGTCCACTTCCTGAGAAACAAGTCTTATGTGATGTTGTTGAATTCAAACTGAAGGATTTCACCCCTTGCAGTCAACCAGCTGTGACTGATCTACCCAAAGGCTGTTATTCCCAGGCCATTTGTATCTATATCTTTCTCTTGGCAACACTGAACATTTCAGTTAGTGGAAACAATCACATTTCACAATCTTTGTGGGAGTAGGTAAATTAGCCAGACCTGTACAACAAAAATACCCGATCTACTTGCAATCTTTTTTTGCTGCCAAAATGAAGGTCTACTCACTTTTGATGAGATAAACTGGTATAGGAAAGCATTAGGTTGTGGCTGTAGCCTCCAATTTCTCCGGCAAAACCGGCATTTTAATAAACCTGCATAATAATTTTTTTCTAAAGTATTCAACTTTATCGAACCTATTTTTTTTAATTAAGTAAAGCGCTACATCGGTCATTCAGAGTAAATAGTAGTGGATACTTAGTTTTCTTCCCGGTAGTCGCGAGAATGAAACATTCTCTCAACTAGGATTCATGTACTATTTTATTGGGTGCATGACAGTGTTTGAGATGAATTACTTGAATTGTAATTTCCATTACAATTTGCTGTGCATGTTATAATTTACTGTATGATATTGCACTGTATTTTGGTGTTTTATAATATGGAGACGTGAGATTGTTCCTACATTATTGGTCAGGTCGCGAGGGTGTCCACTGGGCGGCCTTCGGAGGTCACGTGATGGTACTACGCGTGCTGAAAGATCACGGATGTGACATCACTGTTTCTGCCTCCGGCGACGACAACGCCACACCGCTTCACCTAGCTGCCATAACGACAACCTGGACGCGGTTCGCTGGTTGGTCGAACAAGGCGTCCAGATTACGTCAAGAACAGCATGGGCCTTACACCAGTTGACCTAGCAATGAAATCTTTTTCTGAAAACGTGTGTAACTACTTCCTCGAGGTTAGTACATGCATAATGGGTTTCTTGAGGTCCGAAAGTGTGTGAGTGCTTATAATTACATATGTTTGAAAATAAATAAAGTACAGAGTATATATGAAGAAATAAAGCTGACAGAGGAAAAGATTAAGGAGGCCGCTTCTGCATTATAGATAACCACGACTAGAAACAGGATGTAATAAAGCCAGTGTGCAGTGATGGAGGCTCGATTCTTTATCCGTTAAACGTGACGGATTCCCATTCATACTTCTCATTTATGCAACTTGATGCCTATAATCAAGTATGATTTCATCCAGGGAAGAGTCCTGTAATACCTTGTGTTGCTACTTTATAAGTCTCCTGGGTGAAAGTGTACCAGAGGACCAGAGGACTTAACTGAAATTCAGATAAAAAATGTCGTACACTATCATGGTTTACTGATTAAAAAAGGTTAGCTTTAAAATAGGTTGGAAAGTTTTGAGTTGGTGTGGTTAAGTATGAATTAGACCTGAGTAGCACAGGCCAATAGGCCTACTGCAGTGTTCTTTCAAATTAATGTTCTTACATGTTGTGACGTATCATAATATATCAGCAGCTACTGTACTGAAACCTGTAAATGTGGTGTCCCTCGCAGGAACAATTGATTGATGCAGCTGGTGCTGGCGACACGGAGACTACTCTCCGCCTGATAGACAATAAGGTTAATGTTGACGCTCCCAGTTACAAGCCACAATCCAGAGGTAATAATGAACACCCATGTTTATCTAATAAAGAAATAAGTCTTATAATAACAGTACTCAAAGAAAAATTAATACAAATATTATGTACACCCAGGAAAGGTATACAGCTAAAAATATTAATACTACAAAGTGTATCAATAATATTAATGTGTGTTATGCTGCAGGTCGCAGGGCCCTTCACCAGGCTGCAGACGGAGGCCACACAACCGTGGTCGAGGCTCTCCTCAATGCTAACGCTGACCCTAATGCTGAGGACGACGAAGGTATGAGATTATTATATTCACTGGGAAACATTCGTTCACGGAGGACGGGGATGGGGGGGTCATACGGTGTACATGAAAGTATACAAACATACGTGCACTAATACAGCTTCTTCTTTCAACAAACCGGCTATACCCCACCGAGGCAGGGTGACCTAAAAAGAAAAACGAAAGTTTCTCTTTTCAAGTTAGTAATTTATACAGAAGAGGTTACTAGCCCCTTACTCCCGGCATTTTAGTCGCCTCTTACGACACGCATGACTTATGGAAGAAGAATTCTGTTCTATTTCCCCATAGAGATAAGAGGAAATAAAGAACAAGAACTAGTAAGGAAATAGAAGAAAACCCAGAGGGGTGTGTATATATAAACTTGTACATGTATGTGTAGTGTGACGTAAGTGTAAGTAGAAGTAGCAAGATGTACCTGAAAACTTACATGTTTATGAAAAAAAAAAAAAAAAAAAACCAGCAATCCTTCCAGACAGAACTTATACGTACAGTAAAGGTTCTCTGCACATTATCTAGATCTGCAGTTTCAAAGCAGGTGAAATTGTAGATCTAGAGAGTGTACAGAGAACCTTTACTGCACGTATAAGTTCTGTCAAGCACCTTAACTACTGGGAACGCTTAGAAGCACTTGACTTGTACTCGTTGGAACGCAGGAGAGAGAGATATATCATAATCTACACTTGGAAAATCCTGGAAGGAATGGTCCCGAATCTGCACACAGAAATCACTCCCTACGAAAGTAAAAGACTGGGCAGGCGATGCAAAATACCTCCAATTACCGGGGTGTACCGATGGCGCCCCGCCATCGGTACACCGAGAGAAACCACCACAAGTGTCCGGGGCCCATGACTGTTCAACAGTCTCCCACCAAGCATAAGGGGAATTACCAATAAACCCCTGGCTGCCTTCAAGAGAGACCTGAACAGATACCAAAAGTCAGTGCCGGATCAGCCGGGCTGTGGTTCGTATGTTGGACTGCGTGCGGCCAGCAGTAACAGCCTGGTTGATCAGGCCCTGATCCACCGGGAGGCCTGGTCGTGGACCGGGCCGCGGGGGCGTTGATCCCCGGAATAACCTCCAGGTTACTCCAGGTATGTCAAACAATTACAGGCTTTCGTTATACACTCACTTGACAGGACGGTAGTACCTCCCTGGGTGGTCGCTATCTACCAACACAATTAAGGACTGAAATTAAAAAAAAAAGGTAATTTAGGTAGCCAGTGTGACTGAAAATGTAAACAAATGCTTTTATTTATGAAGCAACACAGCATCAATATTACACTAAGTATTCACTAAAACATGAGAGAGAAAAATAAAATTACAAACCGTTCTTCTCTGTTTTGGACTGAAGGAGACACTGGCTGACCAAGGGTTTCCACAGTGAAGATTCCCAGATGTTACACAAGTATCTCATTCTTCAACTTTTCAGTTTTCTGGCAGAGTACATTAACCAACTGCCTCACCTAGCAGAGTACATTAACCAACTGCCTCACCTAGCAGAGTACATTAACCAACTGCCTCACCTAGCAGAGTACATTAACCAACTGCCTCACCTAGCAGAGTACATTAACCAACTGCGTCACCTAGCAGAGTACATTAACCAACTGCCTCACCTAGCAGAGCCCTTAACCAACTCCCTCACCCAAAAGGTACATTCCCCAAAACTGCCCCCACCCAGCAAGTACATTAACCAACTGCCTCCCCTAACAGAGTAATTAAAAAATTTCCTCACCTAGCGAGTACTTTAAAAAAAACTGCCTCACTAGCAAAAAAAAATTTAAAACCCAAACCCCCAAACCTCCCCGGGAGAACTTTAAACCCCAACTGCCCCCTGGGCAGAGTACTTTAAACCAATGCCTCACCTAAAAGGGACTTTAAACCAACTGCCTCCCCTAGCAGATTTTACTTTTCCCAACGCCCACCTACAAGTACTTTAAACCAATTTCTCCCCTGCAGGGGAACATTAACCAACTGCCTCACCTAACAGATACAAAAACCCAATGCCTCACCTACAGGCCTTTAAACCAACTCCCTCACCTAGCAGAGTACATTAACCAACTGCCTCACCTAGAAGTCCATTAAACCAACTGCCCCTAGCAAGTCCCTTTAAAACCAACTCCTCCCCAGCAAAAGGACATTAACCAACTGCCACCTAGGGGAGTACTTTAAACCAACGGGCCTCACCTGCAGAGTACTTTAAACCCAACTGCCCCCCCCTAGAAAGGAAACTTTAAACCCCACGGGCCTCACTAGCAGAGTACATTAACCACTGCCTCACCCGGCAGAGTACAAAAAACCAACTCCCTTCACCTAGCAGAGAAACATTAACCAACTGCCTAAACCTAGCGAGTACTTTAAAACCAACTGCCTCCCCCAGCAGGTAAAATTAAACCCAACGCCTCCCCAAACCCAGATCCCTTTAAACCAAAACTGCCTCACTTAGCAGAGTCATTAACCAACGGCCTCACCTAGCAGGGGTACAAAAACCCAACCGGGGGCCTCATTAGCAAGTCATTAACCAAGTTTCCCCACCTAGAAGATTACTTAAAACCAACTGCCTCCCTAGCAAGTACATTAACCAACTGCCCCCGCCTAAAGAGTACTTTAAACCAAAACTGCCTCCCCCAACCAAGTACTTTAAACCCCAACTGCCTCACCTAGAAAACCCAAAAACCCAAACTGCCTCCCCTTTGCAGGGGCCCATTAACCAACTGCCTCACCTAGCAAGTCCCTTAAACCCAAACGGGCCTCCCCTAGAGAGTACATTAACCAACGGGCCTCCCCTTTGCAAAGAAAACTTTAAACCAAGTCCCTTTTCACTTACAAAAATTTCCCAAAACTCCCTTCCCCTACAGGTAAATTAAGGGAACCCCGGGCCTCCCCCTAGAAAGGGTAAAAAAAAACCCAAACCCGCCTCACCTAGCAGAGTACATTAACGCCTCCCCTGGGCAAAGTACTTTAAACCAACTGCCTCCCCTAGAAAGTACTTTAAACCCAACTGCTTCCCCTACAGGAGTGCTGGGGATTACCTTGCTGTACAGGCTGGCCACCTGGGGGTTTGTGAAGATCCCTTCTCCCTCTGTTATCTGAGGGGGGGTCGTGAATTTAAAAGGGTTTGGGTACTTCCTTCCTCTTTTTTTATTTTTTTCCTTCCGATTACCCTTCCTCTTTCCCCCCCCCTTTTTTTCCCCCCCTTTCCCCCCTTTTTTTAATAACCCTTATCTCCTAACACTATTATATTTTTATGTTCTTTAATTTTCTTTACATACTTTGTTTGTTACTCCCCCTTTGTTGAGGTTGCGGGGGGTCGAGTCCGAGTCCTGTGGTGTGTGGGTGTGTGTGTGTTGTGTGGTGTGTGTGTGTGGTGTGTGTGTGTGTGGTGTGTTTTATCAACCAAATTTTGTACTTATTAATTGTGCTTGCGGGGGTCGTTTAAATTAGCCCCGGGTTTCCCCGCCCCTTCACGGGTCTTTCCACTAGGCCCTTTCTCTCCCCTGCTCCTTTGAGCTTTTTTTTTTTTTCATACCCTTTTTAAAAACTATGTAAGATACCTGCCCCCCACTACCTCATTTTTCCGATTTTTTCCCATTCCTGAAAACTTAGACTGAAGAAATATTTCCTAACATTCCTGTAGTATGTGTGTATGAGTGGGGTTTTAATTCTTTAATAACTTCGCATTTTTCTGAAATAAAATTTACGGTATGGAAAAACTAAAAAAAAACAAGGCTGTATTTTTTTTTTATTTTTTTCCCACGCAAATTTGGGAAATTTTACATTGAGCATAAAATAAGCATTTTACTTTTTAAACAAACAGTTTTTTTTTTTTGATTTCCCAATTTCTGTTTTATTTTTAAAACGTCCCGATTATTTTAAACCCCCACCCAGCAAAAAGTTTTAGTATATAGTATAAGTTCTTATAAAAAGCTTCTGTTTAAAGTACTTTTTTTTTTTTTTTTGTAAAAAAGTTGAAAAATGCATCCAAAATTTAATAGAACATGAATGGGCCCTTTCCTTTCCCGGCTGTTCATTTTCGGGATCACTTTTTTTCACTTTCATTCCCCCAAAAAAAAAAATTTCCGGGGTTATTAAGAACAGCCTCGTAAGCCCGCTGCCCACACTAAATAACCAACGTTTTTAAAAAAAAAAAACCCCCAAAAAAAATAGGAAATATTTTAAATTCTAAAAAACCCCACATGGGAGAAATTTATACTACGTAATTTTCGAAAAATATCCGTCGAAAGGTTTTATAAACAAAAAATGAAGAGAGCTAAAACAAAAAAAGGGTTTTAGTTAGATTTAAAATTAAAAGGGTTTTGGATGTATCATGTTTGGGGGACAAAAATTTAAAAGAAGATATGACACAGGTTCCCGGGACACCCTCTTTTTGGGCACAAGATTCGCAGCTGGGTTTGGGGTAGCGCACTCGCTCAAAAGGGGTGAGTGTCTGGGGTTCTTGCCCGGTACGGGGGGAAAACGTTCGGAAAGTTTCCTTACACCGGCAACCCCCATTCACCTACCCAGTAATTGGGGACCGGGGGTTTTTACCCGGGCCCTGGTATGGGGGGACCCAGGGGGGGGTTTTTATACCTCAGATAGAGTTTGGGTTTGGGAAATGACCCGGGGGTAAATTAACAACTTTTACCCGAAAAACTGATTTGTGAAAAAGAAAAAAAAAAAAAGGTTTTTCCCGGGAAATTTTGTCTATTTTAAAGTTTGGTGTATATAGCTCATTTCAAGCTAAAATTTTTTTTCCCAAATCTTCTTGGACGGGGGCTTACAGTTTTTTATTAACACCTCTAAAATTTATCCTCGCTTTTTTTGGGGCGTTTTACATGGGGCCCCAAAATTTGGTTTAAAACCCGAAGCAACTTGGGCTGTGGGGGGTTTTTAGTATTGGGGATATTGTAGGGGGAGTGCTGGCGCTCGGAAAACCTTAAATACTGGGGCCATGCGATTGGCCGGGTTTTATTATTTAACTTTAAATTCAGCTTTTAAATGTCCTATGGTGATTGTTGTGTTTGGTTTTACGAAAATTTAAAATTTTTTAAGACTGTGACGTAACAGTTTTTTGTTGATGGCAGTATTGTGTATACAAATCCAAAAGATAAAAAAGTTTATTTTATTGCAAATAATTTTAAAATGTGTAAAAAATATATTCTCCAAGGGTTTTCCTTTTTTTCTGATAGTTTATTTTTCCCTCTTTTTGGATAAATATTTTTGCTTTCCCCCCTTCAGTAGGGGGCCCCACAGATAGTATCCAAGGGTGTCAAATACATTTTTTGTTCCAAGTTCTGTTAGTAACTGTAAAAATACAATTATGTCATCCCTCTGCGTATTTTAAAGGGCCCCGGGAAATATAAATGAAAATAAAATTTTTCTATTTGTTTTTTCTAAGACGTTTTTTTGCAAGACTTTTCTACTTAATACCTTTTTTTAAAGAGAAATTATACAATTTCAGAAAAGGGCAGTAACACAGTTTAAAGGTTTCTAAAAGAGTCTGATTAGTAAATATAAGTGATTTAAAAGCAAGAAGCATGTATGTACAAAAAATAATTTTAAATAGAAATAAACTTACAATACACACAAATAAGAGAAAAAAACATATAAATGGGAAAATTAGAGAGAATTAATGGCCCCCTTTACAAAAAACCGTTTGTTCAATTCTTTGGGAAGCCGTTGATCCAAATGGGGAGCTATTTTAGGCCCCCGAAAAACTTTCAGTACCTTTAAGACCAAGAGCTGCAACTTCCCAAACCCCTTTACCCGTGGAAAAGGCAACACGTTGCACCTTGCAAACCCATAACGGCAACCTTTGGAAACCTTTCGAAGTGGTGGTAGGAACGGGAGTGAGTCTTGAACCAAAGGGCGGGCCGGGGGCCCCCACTGCCCCAAAGGGCTTGGCCCACAAGGGGTTTACAAGGGGTGGCTTCTTTCCTCCATGTTGAAGTTCCTGAGGGGCTTTTTAAGGGCAACCTCAGGGTTTTAAACTCCCGAAGGGAGCAGCAAGCGGGAGCGGGAAAAAGTTTTAGAAGGGGATGTTAAACTCCCGAGGGTTTCAAAAAAATCAAATTTCAAGGTAACTAGGTAAAGGGTCAATTCTCAAAATACCGTAGAAATGAAGCCCTAAGAAACCCCGCACTTTACCCATTGGGACTACTACTTTTTACTATTACTACTGTTTTGTAACCCCTATTATAACGTGAAAATATAATTTTAAAACCTGTGTTACTGCGGGGGTCAAATAATACCTCTACTATCACTCAACCCCTGTTTTTCTTCTACTTTTTCAATTTTTCTTTCTCCTACCACTTTTTAAAAATTACTGCCACTACTTTCTGTTTTTTTTTATCCCCTCTATTACAACTAAAAATTTTTATCTATTTCCCAAACCCCTTTTATTTCCCCTGCTATTTTTTCTAGCACTGCTATTTTTTCCCCCCCTATTTTCTATTAGTAAAGGTACAAAAAAAAAACGTTGCTTTTACTAATACTACTACGACACTGCAGTAATTTTAACACAATTTTTACTTCTTCACTACTAGTGATACTCCAAAAATGTAAATATTCCAATCACAATTTTAGGCAGCGAGCCTTCATTTGCACTTTCCCAAAGGGGTACCCCGGATGCAGGCGTTTCCTGGTAAACCAAGGTGGGGCCCAGGGGGGATTGAAATGATGATAAAGGGGGTTTCCTGGTATCCAGAGTGTCCCGGGGGATGCTTTTGTGATTGGGAAAGGTTTAGTTTTCCCGGTTTCCCGGGTTTTCCAGGGGAATTTTACTGATGATGAAGGGAGTCCCCTGGTAACCAGAGGTGTCCAGGGTTTTTTGCTAAAATTTATCATGAAAGGGGGAGCTTCCTGGAAAACCCAAAGGGACCAAGGAAAGAAGCTAGGAATAAGAAGTGTTTTTGATAGTATTACCTTTTGAAACATTATTATTTTTTGTTGTCTTTTTTTCATCAAATTTTTTGAATGTTCAAATTTAAAAATAAATAAATTTTTTTGGGACACGAAAAGGTTAAGGGTTTAAAAAGGGGGAATTTTGCCTACAGGAATGAATCAAGGACCCGTGTATTAAACAAGCCCCAAAAAGTTTTGGGTCTAAAACAAGTGGAATGTTTTTTTTTCAGGCTTTTCTGCAAATGTGTCTTTGTTGTCCAGATAAACTTTTAGAAGGGGAAAAATTTGAATCTTGTGAAAACCCTGCAGGCAATATGAAACAGGCGAGTTTTTTTTTGGAAATATACGCAAAAGGACGAACAAAAGTCTTGCCCGGGAAAACTGTATTTATATATAATATTAAAAAATATATATATATATATATATAATATATATATTTTTATAAATATATATATATATATTTTTTTTTTTATTATCACATGGCCGATTTCCCAAACCCAAAGGGAGGGTGGCCCAAAAAAAAAAAACTTTCACCATCATTCCCTTTCCCTCACTGTCTTGCCAGAAGGGGCTTTACACTACAATTTTTAAATGCAAAAATTAAACACCCCCTCCTTTCAGAGTGCAGGGACTGTTTTTCCCATCTCCAGGACTCAATTCCCGGGCCCGCCGGTTTTTCCCCGAACCCCTTATAATGTTTTCTTTGCTCACATCCAAAAGCACGTCAAGTTTTTTAAAAAACCCTTTGTCTCCATTCACTCCTAACAAACCCTGCTCCCCGCATACCCGCTGGAAGTCCAAGCCCCCCACACACAAAACCCCTTTACCCCCTCCCCCAACCTTTCCCAGGCCGACCCCTACCCCCCCTTCCTTCCACTACAGATGAACACTCTTGAAGTTTCCGTTTCGCTCCAAATTTTCTCTCCCTGTCCCAAACCCCCCTCAACAAAACCCCTTTCCCCAGCCCTCTGGACAAAAGTTTTTTGGGAATCCCGCACCTCCCCCTAACTTACAAAAACTACGAAATTTCTGCATTTAATTTACACCAACCCTTGCCCCCAAAACATGACATCCCATTGCCCCCCAAACCTTTTTTTCCCCGCTGCAAAATTTATCACCCCTGCTTCACACCCATAAAAGAGCGTTGGGAAAAATAAAAAACCCCATACATTCCCTCTTTTCCTCCAAGGACAAAATTCTTTGTCTCCACAGGGTCCTAAGTCCCCCACTCACCCTTTTTTCCCCCCCTCAATTCTTTGTTTTCCCCCATCTTTCATGACCCATCCCCTGACACGTACACTTTCCCCAAAAATCTGAATACTTTACCTCCCCCATAAACCCCTCCCTTTTAACCCGAATCCCCAAACTTTCATACCTAATTTTTTTTTTTTCCTTTCCCCATAACCCTTTCCTTTTCCGTATTCATTTTAAAATTTTTTTCTTTTGCACACCCTACCAAATTCACCCCCCAAACTCTGCAATTTTTTCTTTAAAACCCCAAGAGCACAGTGTTATCAGCCAAAAAGCAACTGGAAACTCCCACTTTTTTGTGTTATTCTTTATCTTTTAACTCAAAGCCCCATTGCCAAGGGCCCTCGCATATACTTCTCTTAAAAACCCCCTCTATAAAATATATTAAACAACCACGGTGACATCACAATCCCTTTTTCTAAAGGGCCCACTTTTTTCTGGGGAATAATTTTCCCCCTTTTTCCCAATACTCTAACTTGAAACCCCTATCCTCGTAAAAAAATCTTCACTGTTTTTATAACCTCCCCTACACCCTACACCCGCAAAAACCGGGACATTGCCCCCCCCATCCCCCCTGTCCCTTTGCCTTTTTCCCAAAACCTTTAAAAGCCCCAAAGGGCCTCTTTAAGGGGGTTTTCAAAAAATGCTCACTTAATTTTTTCACTGTAAACACCCGGTCCCCCAAAACCCCCCCAACCTTTTCCCAAAGCCTCCTTTTTCATCTGCTATCCCTTTCTCCCTTTTTTTAAAATTTTTTCAATAAAAAACTCTATAATACACTTTACCAGGTAAAAATTAACAGACTTATCCCCCCATAATTTTGGGACTTCTTTTTTCCCCCTTTGCCTTTTTAAAACGGACTTTCCCTGTCCTGCCAATCCCCAGGGAACTTACCCTCTTCCCTACATTTACTAAATAAATTTCACCCCAAAAACCCCCCTCCCAAAAATATATCCCCACCTGCTTTTAACATTTCAAAACTTTATCCCTCAATCCCCGGGTGCCTTACTCCCTTTCATTTTCCTACTGCCCCACGAACTTCCCCCACCCAAAAAACCCGGTTTCCCCCCCTCCTACAAATTTATTCCCCCTTGCCCTTTTACACGGGAAACCAGCTTCCCTATCTTCCAAATTTAAAAATTCCCAAAAAATTCCCCCATCTTCCCCCCTACCCCTAAAACCCCCCATTTAAATTTAAATCTCCCCTCCCATTTTTAAACTGACAAATCCCCTTTTGTTTCTTGGCTTTTCCCTTAAATTGTTAATCTACCCAAAAATTTTTCTTATTTTCAACAAATTTGTTGATAACATTCCCCACTCTCTATTTGCTCTCTTTTTCCCCCGGGTTAACCCCTCTCTTAAACCCCTCTTTTTTTCCATATCTCTTTTCCCCCCTTGCATCACTTCCACTTTGTAAAAAAAATTTTCATATGCTAATTTTTCTCCCTTACAAATGTCAACATCATTTTCCCCAATCGCTTCCCCTTCCCCCCCGCATCACTTTCCTGTAACCACAAAATTTTGCCCGAAACCCGGTGACAAACAAAACCCTTTTCTAAGGGCCCCTTTTAAAACCCACCCCATACCTTTTTCACCCCATTGCCATCTCCCCCTTAGCCCATCTAACCTCCAAAAAAGCTTTTTTATATCTTACCCAACTGCCTCCTCTTTTGTTTTATAAACCTTTCCTCCCTCTTCCCTGATGCTTCTTAAATTTCCTTGTATCCCCCCTTTCCTTTTACTTTCAGTGTTTTGTACAATAGAAATGATCTTAAAATCGGGGGGCCCCCTTAAAAAATTCCCTTGAAGTCTAAATAAACAGCTTTTAATTTTACCAAACATAATCCCAAAAAACTACTGTCATTTCGCCCAAAATCTACTTTATCCCTTTTTTTCCTCTTTTTTTTAAAATATGTATTTAAACCTATAAACCCAAAAAACCCCTTTTTTACAAAGGGTTTAATTCCCAAAGGGGTCCCTTATTTAAATTTTCCCCCTGGCACCCCAAAAATTTCCTTTCCACAACCCCCTCTAAAAG